TTATGGTTATTATTTGTGTTGTTTCATTGTGCCTTATATATTCATTTGTGCGTAAATCTGTTGTATAATTATGTCTTTCGTGTGTGTGTCTTTGCTTAATACCCTCGTGATATCTCATTTCATAAATTCCTGGGGAGAAGGAAGTTCGTGAAGCAGATTTTTCGGCTTTATTTTCCCCAACCTTCCCCCGTCGATTTGAGTGAAAATAAGGCTATTATTAAAGAACCATTTAGATCGCGGTTTAAATCACGATGTATATTATCTAGATTTTTATTCTAAGCCATGACCTCTGCTCATCCCGTAGAAGATATAAGACTTTGGCCGACACATCGACGGTTGATCTACAGTTCACGGCGGGATTTTATGGAGGTGTGAGTGTTTTGTGGGGAACTTGGTAGCAATAGCCTGTTATTATTGTTTATGGATAAAATTCTCTACGAGTGCAGATACTTATTTGGTGCTGAGCTTGTAATTTTTTAACGATTTTCGTGGCCTAATTAGTTATCTAAAGCCAAACTATGTATGTTGGGTCTTACTATGCAACCGGAGGCAAGAGCTCGCTCAATATATAAAGCAAAGAATGATGAAAAAATGTCTGATATGTTAAGCTTAAATTCATTTTTTTTTTGTGTTTTGTTCTTATCATATTTTGAGGCACTGCATAATGTTTCTACGTGTTTGTTTTTTGTCTGAAGTGCTATTTAGCGCTGTATTTGAGCGTTTGTTGTTCCACGAGCGTAATGTCATACGTAACGCCGTAATGTAATATTTAGTGGGGAAGTAAACAGACGCAATAAAACGAGTTTATCGCAACAATTTAAGCCGATACACAATATGTACAGCGTAAAAAACATGCGGGATGAGGATAGTTAATGAGCGGGACGACTACTACTCCCCGGAAATCCGAAATCCCGGATCGCCGCCCCTTGGACACCATGTCTCCAAAAACGTACTGCTTTTTTTTTTTTGTTTGTTTGGGCATTGGTTGGCAGCGATTCGGCCGCAGTCTTTTTTTTATTATCCAACTGGCGCGTACTTCCCCAAGCAAGCATAATACTACTCTGCGACGAATATTTGGGACACTGCACCGTTATGAGCGCGGCAGTAAGCGTAACGGCGCCTTCCCACTTCTTTTTTCTTTAGTTTACGAGGAAGTTTAGCAGTGCGCGTGCGCGGCGGGTCGCGTCTTTCACGCTCGCGCGTAGCCCGTCGATGGCGAGTCGTCGTCGTGGTTCCAGCGCAGTAAAGAGCGAACGCTTCCGTCGTAAACGACGCAGAGTCATTGACCGTAGCGGCCCGGATAGAGAACCTCGATTTAAGAGAGGCAGCAACTGAAACCATAGAGCGCTGTCTAATAATTTAGACCCAAGTTACGAATAAAAAAACAAAAGAACAACAACAACAAAAAAAGGGCGCGGGATGGTAAAAAAAACGCACCTTTCGTGTAAGGCCCGTCAAAGTATGAGGCGCTGGAGAAAACCAGCCTTTTTCGTTAAGTCCTTATTTTGGAACTCTTTTTGCTCGCGTTCCGTCCATTGAAAAGCATCCGGAAAGCGCTTCAGCACGCACCTCGTATCACTGCGCCGAGTGCTCTTCCGCAGCAAAAACGCCGTCTGCTTTCATCGCCGTCATCATGGCAACGAACGCCGAAGGACCTTCTCGGACGGCACGTGTATTGCTGGGGAGCGTGTTAACTCCCCACCCCGACCTGCATTCACGCCGTTTCACGGCGACAGTCTGCGGCTGATCATTACAAACTATTAAACTTTGGCTAGCAGAGGGCGTTCGGAAAATCGGCGTTCGTCGCCATGGCGACGGCGATAGAAGGAGACGGCCTCTATGCTGCGGAAGAACACTGTGGCGCAGCGAAACGAGGGTCGTGCTGAGACACTTTCCGCATGCTTTATAATGGGCGGAACGCGAACAAAAAGAGTCTGAAATGAAGACTTAACTCAGGAGACTGGCTTTCTCCAGCGCCTCATAATTTGACAAGCCCTACACGAAAGCATGTTTTTAAAACGGAGCTTGGAGATGTTTTTTTACAGCATGGGTATAAAGTATCAATAGACAAGGTTTGCAATTTAATGGCGGATGCATTCCCGCACAGACTGGTCGTAAGTGCTACGTTGTCACGGTGCGAGGAGTAAAGCGCGGGCGGAGTGGCGGAGAGACGCTTGCCAACGATCAAAGATTCTGACTCCTTCGCGCAACTTGAACTTTAAACGCGTCCCTTGGTCGCCTGACCCTGACGGAGCAGTTGGAATCACTCAGTAATCTGGGCACACCAGGTCCGCACTGAGGCCTACGCGTCGACAGGGCTGGGAAAGCTGCTCACGTACGCAATTTTCGAGGGATCCGGACTAGGCGAAAAAAAGAAAAAAAGAAAAACCAGGCACCCCGACAATAGACGTAGAGGGAACGGAAAAGGAAAGTGTCCTGGGATGCGTCCTGTCCGGAAATTGGCCGGTCACGCGCGGGATAAGAAAGGTCACCGGTAAGGCGAGGACAACGCCTGCTCGCTCGGCCCCCCTTTTTTATTTTTTTTGCTCGCATTGATGTTTTAGGTAGTCGGTGTTGGCTTCCTTCTTACGTTTCGGTAAGTCTGAAATAAAAATATTAAGACCGAACAAGACTAAAAAGATAAAGAAACTGGTGAAACGTAAACTGTGACATAAAATAAGATAAAGAGTTCGTCGGTGAAAAACGCAGACACTTTAAACGATCTTCACATCGACAAACATGTGAGGAATCTCAGCAAGATTTGCTTTGTAGCATTTACACATCTACACTCTGTAGTCAAAATGTTAATTTTGACGACACTGGGCTCGCCAAGTCCCTCGGTTCCCATCAGCAATAATAAAAACATATATTTATTATTATGAACTCATTGCACGTTTTTTAGGTTTTGGGAATTTTTGACGAGGAACTGTTTAATTGTCGTCTTCCAAAATGCATCTGTTGCCCTCAAAATAAATTTTCTAGCCACAAACTAAATAAGAAAAAAGTAAAGAAAAAATCTGATGCTACCATCTATTGGCACAGCTGCAAACTAATCCATGAGCGAGCCTGGTTCGTCCAAATCGGTTCGATGCATGAACCGGAGAAAGCAGACAAGGTATGCTCGTCCTGAACGGTTTGGGGACGGCTCTACGTTGACGAGCTAGGCTCGTCTAAAACGGTCAAGGGGTAATAGATCTTAAAAAAATTTAAAAATGTAAAAGAAACACAACCAGTTATCGGTCTATTTCTATACCGCGAATAACCGTGAGGTACTAGAAAACAACCATCTCTTGAAGCTAACAATAAATCAGCAGATTCTATAAAAATGTGTAACTTGTTCCTTTCTAACAATCGCGTGTTTTCACTTCACCCATCCATGGGCAATTACTTTGGCAATCGTTTTTATACAGTATCCTCGTTTTTAAAATTCCCCGCGTCGTATTAGTTCTGGCACAAATTAAATGATGTCCCGATGATGTGAAGGAGCATCCTGAAGAATGTAACACTCTAAAACAAATCTTGGAAACTTCTAATCGACACAGATTTTGCCCGAATTCTCCGTCATACCACGTTCAATGCGTGAACGGTGAATATTTGCAAGATAAATAGTTCGCACCAATGTGCAGTGCATAAGATATGCATACTGTAGTCACAACGTGTCATCAGCGCTGGGGCAGGCCACGAAAAGTGCCCGAGGAAGCAGCCAGGAGTAACCGTGAATATTGTATCGTCCTTCACCCTAAGGCGAGCTGCTCACTCCTTAATATTGTTGGCGCTCTCCTAAGGGTGAATGTATCAAGCTCGGCCAAGCGTAGATGCTGGCGTTCAATGCAGTTTCACTTCCAAATGCTTACATTATGTGGCACTATGTGAATAAATCCGTTCTCAGCATACTTTGCGATGCAGCACAGCGTTCTCTAAAGCCACGAAATATTGGCGCTTCGTTCTCAGATTACCTCATGGGCGCCGCAAAATTTTGGTGCTTGGCAAAAAGGAGGCGAATGTGCGAATAGTTATAAATGAAGAATGTGACTTCATGAGTTCTAGATAAGGTGTTAAGAAACTAATGACAGCGGTTCCCCCAGAAACTAAAATTAGGAAGGGGGGGGGGGTGTAAATATTTAGGGGGGGGGGGGTAGGGGGGCATTGAGAATAGAGGAGTCGTTGCGAATTAAGGGGGTGCCTTCAAAAAAAGAAGGGGGGGGGGTTGTACCCCCCTTAGGGGGTGTGTATTGAAATCACTCTAATGGAGCGTTGTTTTGCTATTTTACTTTGTCACGGAGTGTTTGAACGCTTGTGCTGGACGGAAAACCGTTTCTTGCAATTTCAGATAAGGCTTCGGGGAACTGAAAGTCCTGATTTTGAGCACCAAGATGGCTGAAGTGTAGTTACTTAAAAGCGTGGTTTATTCGGTGTCTCTACGCATAGAGTTAATACACTAATCTAGAGTACACTAATCTAGAGGTAAAGAGCTAATGTAATAATCTAGTAGATGTCCGCCATCTTATCATGCATTTTTGTAGCCTCGTTACAACGGCGTTGCGGACATCGGCCGTCCCAGTGTGTGGTCTCGATGGTCCCCTATTGCCGGCGACGCCTTAATATGCCAAAATCAGCAGCAATACATCACCTGCAAGGCTTATATCAAAGTCCTTTGTAATTTACTTCGCAAAAAAAAAAAACTTAAAAAAAAACACTGACATTCCGCGTTAAAAAAGAAAAGTTGACTATCACTCTAACAACTTCAACTTGTCGCATGCAGCAAAACGAACAGGCCCATGATATTGCCTGCTTTCTTTCTCTGCTTTTCCGTCGCTTTTTTTTTCTTCGTTCTATCCCTCGGCACAACCAATAGCAGCGCTCACGATTTGCCGCGTTCTGCTTCCGTCATTACCTTTCTACTTTAACTTTCCCCATTCGCAAAACGCAGTCGCAATCCCAAGAACAAACGAAAAAAGCGGGCACCCCCAGGACCCCCGGGCGATGATGCTCGCACTCACCAAAACGTAGACGGCGAAGGGCATCACCGCCGCGGCCACCAGGAGATCGGCGAAGGCCAGACTCACGATGAAGTAGTTCGTGGCGGTTTGCAAGCTTCTCTCTTTGTACACGCTCAGGATGATAAGTATGTTGCCGAAGACGGCCAGGAACGGGAGGATGACCAGCATCAGCGCCCAGTACACCTTTTCGGCGGGCTGCGGGTGCTCGGGCGAGAGGAGTCCGCCCAGCACGTCCACCGTGGAGCCGTTGGATAGCGCGCGCTGTTCGGCCCACGAGCAGTTGTGGCCCGTCCTCGGGTCCCACACACACCCGTCGCCCACGGTCCAGTTGGGTGTCGTGTTGTGCACCGTCGAGTTCAGCAGCGGAGTTTCAAGCACCAGGCTCTCGTTGACGGCTGTCACGTTGAGCATACTCACTGTCGTTGAGGACATGTTTGACGTCGCCACAGTGGGCACCGGGAAATCGTCACCTATCGCCCGCTTTCTTACTTGTCGTATGTCAGAGGCACGTACTTTGTTTTTATTTTTTAAGGGAGGAGTGGTTTGTAATTTGGACTTAGAACGCGCGCAGTCCTCATACGCGTCAGAACGGCACGGTTCTTGGCAGACGATTTGAGTTCGATACGAACCTCGAAGTAATTAGATGCATCTCTGGTTTGTAGCTCCCCCGTATTTCTGTTTCTTTGCCAACTCTCGCATACGCAGTGAGTCCAGCCTAAAGAGACGACAGACTTACGTGCGACACAAAAGTGTGTATAATCAGCGACTTCACCGTACGACCCAAACAAAGGTGGTAATCTCGTTGAGTTGACATCATGCGCACTCCACCGTCAACGTGGTAATCCTGCATTTAATCCCTCTTTTTTTCATTCTTCTCCGAGGTTCCCAGCTCCGGTTCGATTATCGACCGATCTCACGGTACACGTACACCTGCCAGCTACCAAGAAATTATCGTAAGCAGTTCGACGCACGCGCGACAAGAGAATCAGATATTGACGACTGAGCGGTGCCGTGGTGTAAGCGTCGGTTCAAATCCGGCTGGGCGCAGCCACATACGTGCGATAATTGTCCGTAGTGCCGGTAAAGCGGTGCGGCGTTAGCGACCTCTACAGGAAATCCCCCGCAACCACCATCAGAAATATACTGCGAGGCGCGCGGCTGTGCTACGTCATTGGCCGGCGCTAGAACTTTTCAACAGTCGAGCGAATTCAACAACGGCGTCTTGGAGCCTCCATAAAAATAGACCACAAACACAGGACGCGGCGAAGGCGTCGACCAAAACGCTGCCGGCATCCGACGCAACGACGCCACGATGGGATCGTTAGGCCAAGGACCGCTGGTAGCAGCCTTCTATCGCTCTTCCCATCCGCTCCCGGGTTCCTCGAAGACGCAGTGCGAGAGAGGGAGGAGAAATAAATAAAGAAAAGGACTTCTGCAGAGAGAATGTCGGGAGGAAGTTCGGGGTCCGAATTGCGCTTCCCCTTCCCCTGGCTGGTTCGGGGTTCGTTACTTGAGAGATTTGTCGGTGCTGGCTGCCCGCTTATTTCGCCATTGCGCTCGAGTGGAGAAGGCGACCCCGCCTGCCCTCGTTTTCGAAGGCCGCCTGTTCAAAGGTCGGCAACGTAGGTCGCCCCGTCTCTTCCTTTTCGGCGCAGTGTCGTCGCCGCTGCCGCCACTGCTGGTAGTGGTGGCGCCTGTCGTCACTCGCTCCGGCTGCCAACGCCGCCGGTGCCCTCTTTCGGTCGGCTGGTTGTTTCCTCCCCTCCCAGGCTTTGAAACTCGCCTTGCTTATGAATTTCCTGCAAGGAGAGAAAGCGGAGCACTTGTAAAGAAAGAATCGGGCGGAGAACGAACCCGGAAGATAATACGCTGCTTGCTTTGTTTCGCAAGAATTCTGTGCATGAGTGCGCCGCATTTTTTACGGAAAAGAAGGAGGGTTAACTATAAAAAGCGAGCGAGCGTATAAATTGGGGGGAGAACTTAAAAGATAAGGGGGAGCACTCATTATTAACCGAGCTTGCCTGACTTGCGTGAGTGCACTCCATAACGATTCGTTACCGGCAATTAGGAATAGTTAATTGGGCAGCCGAACACTATCGGTCTGTACTTTGGAATAAACTAAACTTGACAGGGTCTATGTAAACGAATGGTCCCTTCTCTGACAATATGTTGGAAACAGCTATTCTGGGAGGGTGAGAGGCGGTAACCAGTTGAAGACCCGCGCGGTTACTTTCCCGCGTAGCATTTGGACAGACAATCACAGCATGTGCCCAAGGACACTGACGTACGGCAGAGCATGGCGTGTTACGTGCTCAGTGTTACAGCAGATATCAAAACTCCCAAAGCGAGTAGAAAAAAGTACTACGCGTCATTTGTCACGTTCCTATAGTACTGGCCGCTGTGATTCCCCGTATGCTCGCTGGCTTAGCTAATGAGCATGACGGGATTTCGCTTGACCATTGCAGTGAACACATACTTAGCGCGGTTACGGCAGAATCCCATAACGAATTCCGCAGATCACTTTATGCCATACATATTTCTAGGTATATATGTTTAATGGAACTTGACCACCAAGAGAGTTGTTTACTTTGCGGCATAGATATACGGCAAAAGACGTTTAAGGGTGTTTAAAAGAAGCTGAAGAAAGAAAAAACATATTTTATCATGGGGATTGTTCCTATCTGCTTGATCACGTGTTTTCCTGGAAAAAAAACAAAACTATATCGTTGCTAATTTTTTGTCGTGCTGAGAAAAAAAAAGTCGTTGAGATCGGGTGTTAAAGTGCCTTGCGTTGATGGGAAGGGTACGGTCAGTCATTTTATAGCGCATATGTTATGGGATTCACACGCAGATAAACAAAAAAAAGACAACAACAACAACATTATTATACTTTATTTAAGGCAGTGACCACTTTCGCCTAAAGCAAACGAAACAACAAATGACAGGTTGTGGTGCTCAATCGGCTATAAGGTTTCAAAAGTCAAAGATCATTGCCCATTAAAAAAAAAAAGAAAAAATGAAAGCCGTTATTTCGCTGTAACACCGAATTAGAGCACAGCTCTTGAGGAGGAGGAGGAGAAGGTACGGAGAGGAGGATATGCCCTCCTCCTCTCCAGCTCGTCTCCCATTTAGGAAAAAAAATTTCGCTAAATTTAGCGGCAGAATGTTTCCGCTAAATTTGAAAGGGAAATGTTTCTGCTAAATTTAGCGGGGAAATTGGTCTGCTAGATTTAGCGGGGAAATTTTCCCGTTAGATCTACCGGGAAAATTTTACGCTGGATTTAGCGGGGAAACTTTTCTGCAAGATTTAGCGGGGAAATTTTGCCGCTAAATTTAGCGGGGAAATTTACCACATTGCACCGTGCGGTTACGCCGACGCCGACGGCGGCGCCGACGCCGCTCAAGACGGAAACGGGCGCCTAAGAGCCTGCGCTCTAAAAGAAACTACCTCTTTTTCGCCATGGGCTAATTTAGTGTCAACCTTCAGGAAGTGTGTTCACACACTTGCTGTTCCTGTGTGTGTAAAAAGGAAGCCTGTTCCCACATATACGCATAGCGCTTCCACAGCTCTATTACCCAGTGTTAGAACTAGAGTTGACGTTGCTATTGCAGCGCCAATTTCGCGCTATGTCAGTGCTGCATCAACGCTATTCATAGTGTTGATGTTGTGCTGCTGTGTTTGAACCAGTCTTTTGTCCCATTCCTTCAGGGTCGCATGGAAACTTTTCGTGTCACTTTCTGACGAAGACAGGAGGGTTCGAGGGATTTCTATATGAACTCACTTCACTCGATCCGGCAGACCAAGTACGCAGACTTAATATTCAGGTGTAGGAAGAAGCTTCTGGCGCAATCTAAACACATGTATACGACTATGCACTATTCCAACGTTTACAAGTCCATAGACTTCGATTTCCACAGCGCGCGCATGTTGGTCACTTCAGAAAACAAGGAAAACACGCGCCATACGGACCAACACTAGAAATGGTACCGGCCAGAAGCCCATTTCTGGATAGGTCTATATCGACGCGTGCATGATCGATAAGTAACGCTTCTCCGTTCATCTAGAAGATCCGTGTATACTCTTACACCAAGCGTAAAAGATAGGAAGACCGGAAACCTTGCCTAGTGAGTCTCGCCTTAACTCATTGCCGATCATACAAGGACGAATCTTCGAGAAGCCGAGTCTAGTAAATAAGGAGCCGAACATGGTATTGCCGATTCATTCACTGATTCACTATCGCGATAGCCAGCTGTGACGCAACGCACCGTTGCTCGCTGCTGCTTTCTCGACGTTTGTTCTCCCTTTTTTGTTTCTGGCACAATTTCGCTCATTAAACCTTTATTTTCAGTTTATTATACATCGTCTCGTCGCCTTCATTCGTGACAGTATAGTAAATACCAACGTGCGCTCCTTACGTCATGTCGCAACAGCAAGGCCATGTACAGCACGGCCCGCGTGCGGACGCTTCTCGTCTCAAAAGTCCGGTTCTTACCTACGCCCATTGCCCGCACCTGGCGTGAACAAAGCGAAGAAACCCGCTTGTTCGTGAGCGGCGCGTTTAGTGATACACGAAAGCGGCTGCGTTTCTCGTCTGAAGATCCTTAACTAAAGTTTACGAGCTTGACCTATGAATATGTTTCCGCGGTGCCAGGGCTCGTGAGGAAGAACATGTTTTGGAACTTCCATCGGGCACCAAATGTTTTGAAGCCATGGAAGAGCTGGATACCCTAGATCTCCCTCAGAAGCGACATCCAGACATACGTATTCTTAACATAGGCAACCTAGTATTGAAAATCCTACAATACGCACCGCTCCTCAGATCTTCGACGAAATATATAATTTTCCCAGTGCATCAGTACCAATCTTCCTGTTGCCGGCGTGCTTGATAGAAATGGAACACCCCTATAAGGAGTATTCACTGGGCGCCATATTTGTGGGTGATGTCTAGCCCGCGTGCCCTGAACCAGCCCACATTAATAGGCTGCTAAGACCGGCAATCTTGATGGTGCGGAATGCACGTTACAAAAGAACTGTGGAAGCTCGCCATCAGCACGCGCTCAGCAGTTGTGAACACAGCTATGGCTGCCAGTGAATACTCCCTATGCAAAGCTGCAAATAACGTTCCAGGTAATGTTTTGTATGTTGAACGGCACGACCGAGAAAATCTTTATAAAAATAAAAGCTGTGGTTCCTAGAATACTCTAATTGAAATTTGGTACCCCTGACTAATAATATATTTGAATATTAGTGATGAAAAAAGTGATCAGACGTCAAATTCGATTGGAGAAAAATAGAGGCACTTTAGGTGCGTGAGCAAAGGCTCATGTCTCGGTCTTGGTGGTGTGATATCGTACACGATCAACACCCAAGGGTCTTTAAAGGGGCGATGCAGCGATTTTTGTACTTGGCGCAAATACCGCTTAGAACGGATCCCTGACGTTAATGACGTATTGCCGCGCGCGCAGCTGGCCAAGTATGCAGCGCGCGCGTGGCCTAACGGTTATCGCGCTTGCCTTCCACGCATAAGGCCAGGGTTCGATTCCTGGCCGCGGCTACACATTTTTGTTGACACTGTACTGTGATGTTCTGGTGAATTCGAGATCCGTCTTGCTGATTCGAGGTTAGAACGTTCTACGCGCCGAAGCTTCTACGCCGAACGATCCAGAAACCCACGAGGGTACATAAGGGATTCCGCAAGGCGAGCGGAGTCAGTTTTCGCCCCAGCGTTCGACTCTGCTGCTACGCCGACTTCGACGCCCGCGACGCTCTGTTATTATCTTTTGTACCCTTTTATTTTTGGCACAAGTTCGCCACATTAAACGTTTATATCTTCCTGTTTATTTATTGTTTTTTGGTCACCACCCGTGACACTATGAAGCACGCGTTCGTTTTTCACCCCACACAATAGAAATCCAAGAAAAAAAATTAAAGAAAACAAGCAGCGTTCACCCCCTCAACTCGTAGCCAGAAGAAGCGTTCACGTGATCTGGAGCCTATTATACTCTGTTTCACCTTATAATGTACCGCAGGAAAGGCTACAAGCGCGAGCTCCTTGCTCAGAGCACATCTCGGCGGCACAAGCTCTCGTGCGTTAAGAGTAGCTCCCAACGCTATGAGCTCGCGCTTCTAGCCTTGTCTGCGGTACAACATAAGGTGAAACGGAGTATATATGCCGCGAGTGTTGATCATAGCCACGCGCTGGGGTTGGCAAAGCACTGGACACGCGCTGAGTTCCAGACATTGGTATGGTACGGCTATTGTCGTCTTTGCAGCGATTGGACACGGGCCACTACCCGAATGCTTCTCGAGCTAGTAATTATCACGAGCCCAAATCGAGTGCCCACGCAATGCTCGGGTCCCATTTTTATGAACAGGGGTGCGATGTTGCGCTTTTTGGACTCCCAGGAGACTAGGGAGAAGGAAGTGACGCCAACAACACAGCAAACGCAGATTGGATGTTGACAGAAGAAAACGAAACAACACTCAATCTGCGTTTCTGTGTCGTTGACGTCACTTGCTTCTGCCTAGTCTCCTGGGAGTCCAGAAAGCGCAACATAGCACCCCAGCATTCAAATATCGTCATTGGGGTTTGCTGCGATTCCCACGTTACGTCATCAAATCTTGCAAAGAAAAGATTGAATGAAAATGATCGCTTTTGTCCTGGAAATGACACCACAACTGATGAGTTTCTTGGGCAGTGGCGTTGCGTGCGAGTATTCTTGAGTCCCACTAGTGCCAGTAAGCTCGTGTAAAGTGAAAATCATTCGAATTGAATATCGCTGCACCGCCCCTTTAAGC